TAAACTTTCAGACCATTACTAAACTATAAGAACCCAAAAAGCTTAAAGGTTGGGCCTTGGGGAACTCAGGTAACCGGTTTTCACGCGTCGACTTTATGGGGCTCGGCTTCTCCAAGACGAAGCCTGCAAAGCTCGAGAACAGATTTGGTTTCTGTAGTTTTGGGTTTAAGGTCTAGGATCTGGGGTTTAGGGTTTAGGGCGGATTTGGTTTCTGTAGTTTTGGGTTTAAGGTCCAGGATCTGGGGTTTAGGGTTTAGGGCGCATTTGGTTTCTGTATTTTGGGTTTAAGGTTTAGGATCTGGGGTTCAGGGTCTTTGGATTTGGGGTGCTCTGACTTCAAACAGCATTTACCCCTAAAAGCGCTGAGCCTTTCCCCCAATCTCTCTGCCGAAAGGAACCTGAACCCCGTGCTCCGCACCCGAAACCACAATTCCAGGACCCCGAAACTCATAGCGAACTGGGACGTCAACTCGAAGCAAGCAACCCCGAACTAGGCCAGCATCTCCCGACCAAGAATCAGAACCCCGGTCCCGAAATGAGGAATACTATAGGAGCCTCATGAATTGGAATAGGGTTTTGGGGCCCATTATACTCTGATTATAACAAGGAACCCCCCAAAATAGTGGAATAGGGTTTTGGGGCCCATTATACTCTGACTATAACAAGGAACCCCCCAAAATAGTGGAATAGGGTTTGGGGGCCCATTATACTCTGATTATAACAAGGAACCCCCAAAATAGTATTGGTACTTATTTCGGCCCCTACATAAAAACCCAAGGCTCGGCTCCCGCAAACCTGAACCCTGAATCCCCTAACCATCGTTTGAGGGTGTAGGGGCTTAGGGGTTTAGGGTTTAGGGGTTTAGGGTGTAGGGGTTCAGGGTTTCGGGGTTTAGGGTTTAGGGGTTCAGGGCTTTGGGGATTGGGGCTTAGGGGTTTAGGGTTTAGCCGAAACGGGGCACAGTCGGAGATCAGCACCACTGTGACGCCACTCGGAAGAGCAAGCCAAAAGTCGCGTAACCTTGCACAGGGTGTGAGGGATTGGGCTGTACTTAAAGGATCATGGGACTTAGTAAGTAGGGTTATAATTAAGCTAACTATACTTATATTTACCTATAACCCCAATTAAGGGACTTATAACCTTACTTACTAAGTCCCATGATCCTCCAAATAGTATATTTGGACCTTGGCAATAGTAATTGTAATTCAATTAGGGCTTGGGGGGTATATTGCAGTGCTACTTGTAGTTATTCAGACCTTGATTACATTGGGCTTCCGGGTGTTGTGGTTCAGCTTTCGGGTGCATTGGGCATAGGCACAGATCCAAGCTTTAGATTTACATCTAGCGGAATCTAGGGGTAGTTCGATTTGCGGAGAAACCAGATCGAACCAAGATATCTTCTCAACATCAGCCATGTTCAAAAACCTTCGACCCCACTCTATGGAAGCCAGTACCTAAACCCCCAAAAGCAGGTGAAATAATGGCCCAAAACCTATAAAGGGCTATGATTCTACATACTTTTCCTTAAACCCTAAACCCTAAACCAGGCCAACTTGGAGTTGCAACCACAAGCACCGCTTTGGAAGCGACTCGCAAGGCTTCGATTTAGTGGGATTTAAAGATCATGCAGTGTCGGGGCTTCGGTTTAGGGTTTAGGGTTTAGGGTCGGGGCTGGCCCTCAACCCTTAACTCTAAACTAAAATCCAAAACTCTTGACGGGCCCCCAAACCCTAAACCTGAACCCTGAACCCTAAACTACCCTAAACCCCAAACCCTAGACCCCTTTTCGCCCTGAGCCCAAGCTCTGTGTCCTTTTTCCCCTGTCCTCCGCTGAAACACCCCAAAAAGCCCTAAAACCCTCAATCCCCAATCCCTGAGACCCACTTTAGGGGTTAGGGGTTCAGGGGTTTAGGTTTTATGGTTTGGGGTCCCGAGACCTAGCATCAACCCTTACGAACCCCACAGAAACCCTAGAAGATGCCCTACGAATCCCATCAGAACCTTCCAGGAAGCTTCCGGAAACCTCCGAAAGATCCCGACAGAACCCTAATCTTTCGAAAGAACCCTAATCACGGTTAGGGTTTCGTCTCGGGTTTAGGGGTTTAGGGGTTGGGGTTTAGGGTAGCAACCTGCGGAACCTTACGAACCTCGCAAGATCCTTGTGAATAGAAGCCATAACCCCCCGCGGCTACAACACAACCTCACAAAGCACTATAGGAACCCTGATAGATGCACTATGTCGCCCGGTGGAACAAAACATCACAGATCGTTCATTATTTTGGTTCTGGATAATATCAAGTTGTACATGTATCATTATTGTTCTAGTTATATAGTCGCTATACATGAAATATTTTCACTTCTTAAATCCAACCACCCTAAACGGCCCTAAACCCTAAACCCCACTACCCAAAGAAAGGGTATTATCGGAAGTCCAGCCGGTCTTTCCGAGCCCAATCAGCCAAAAGCACGGTTTTGGGTTTAGAGGGTTTAGGGTTTAGGGTATAGGGTTTAGGGTTTAAGGTTTAGGGTTTAGGGTTTAGGGTTTAAGGTTTAGGGCTTAGGGCTTAGGGAAGCAACACGCGGCAGGCACCTCCTCCCAGAGCTGACCATGCTGGAAGGCACGCAACACCTGGGATGCCAGACAAAAATCTGAAAAGGACATCTTAGTATCATTATAACTATCATCATTAGTGTGGTTACGGTTATGATAGTTGCGATTATGATGGTGATGAGTAGTATTGCTACTAGTATTGTCATTATTCTTATGGTTATTCTTACAATTGTCTGGAAAGGATTTTGGTTGAGGGTTTCGGGTAGCAATTTGGGCTTTGGTGGCAAGGGTTCATTACCTCCGTTTTTGTAGGGTTTGCAAGCTCTAAACCTGAAGCCCTCATAGTCTGAAACACGAAGCCCAAAACCGCAAGCCCCAAATCCTCAACTCACAACCCCCACACTCAAAAACCCTAAACCCTAAACCCCAAACTCCCCAAACGTAGAAACATGTAAAATATAAAAATAGAACTGTAACATAATATCATCTAATGGAATAATACTCGAATGTCATAGAATATAAGATCCCTCTCAAACCCGAAGGCATGGCTAAACCATGCATCCAAACTCACCAAGCAAGCCGCGCAGGTGACAGCGACGATATCCGTTTCAAGGCGCCACCTTTCACCATAGTGATTTTAATACGTAGAAACATGTTTGGGGGTTATGTCATACTATAATTCCAGCATTCAGGTTGTAAAGGGAACTATAATTCTGTTCAGGGAACTATAATTCTATAGGGACTGTAAGGGAACAATAATTCTATAGGGACTGTAAGGGAACTATAATTCCATAGGGACTGTAAGGGAACATTCTCACTAAGGTTATGTTTGGGGGGGGTAAGAGATGGAGGGGTTTGAGCCGTCAGCAAAGAGGATGGTTACAGACGGGTGGAGGGGATTTTGTGGCTCGAGGGTTCTAGCGCTTCTCGGTTGCAGGCATTCGGGCTTTTAGGTTGAGGATATATTACCCTGAGGGTCCATGTACCCAAATAGTCTATACATTGGCCCCAAAGTACTTATATAGGGACTACTTTAAGGCCAAAGTATATCTATTTGGGTACATGGACCCTTAGGGTTAGTGCAAGTTGGGAAAAGGGGGCGCATAGATCTTCACCAAAGCCCTCAAACCCTAAACCCTAAGTCCGGAATGTGCTGAAACACCGAGTGCAAACCTCATCCACGCAGGTCTGGAACCGATAAGAAGGGGCCTACATAAATCATTAGAATACGGTTCCTTCAAATAGGGGGTTCCTTAAAAGGGTTACTATAAGTCCTATGAACTTTGCCTTGCCGCCTTTATGATGATTCAGGAGACTCAGCTCGAAACCTTAGGGCCAACATGTCCTCAAAACAAGGGGTTTAGGGTTTAGGGTTTAAGCTAAATTTAGGGTTTAGGGTCTAGCTCGCGGAATGATCTTCAGGGATCCCTACAGTGGAACCTGGCAAACAGAAACAAACCCCCGGAGCCCTCCACCCTGACTGCTATACCCAAGCCTTTAGAGATTAGGGCTGAGGGCCCTAAACTAAACCCAAACCCTGTCAAGGAGGGGGGTTTAGGGTTCTGGGTTGAAACCCCTAAACCCTAAACCGTTTCAAGGAGGGCCCTAAACCCTAAACACTAGGCCCTTTCAAGGAGGGCCCTAAACCCTGAAAAGGAGGGGCCACAAAGCCCTAAACCCTTTCAAGGAGGGCCCTAAAGCCCTAAACCCTTTCAAGGAGCCATGACCTGAGTACAATATACCCCAAACCCTACTCTAATTCATCAAGGCCCCTACTTTAAACCCTTTCCAGTAACCCTAAACCCTAAACCCTAAACCCTTTCAAGGAGCCAGGACAGCCCTTACCTTCCGAAGTCATCGAACAGCGCCAGGGCAGTGGGCCACTCGGAGGCCACCGCACCTGGCAAGGAGCAGCAAACCAACGGTCTAGGATTCAGGGTTTGGGGTCTTAGGGTTTAGGGTTTAGGGTCTGGGGTCTTAGGGTGAGGGTTTAGGGTCTAGGATCCAGGGTTTGTGGTTTTAGGGTTTTTTTTTTTAAAGTTGGGATGGCACTCTCTTTGTCGACCCGCCGCTGTCAGCACCCAACAGGGCAGTAACTTTAAGTTACACATCCCTCAGAGGCCGAAACTGTTTTAGTTCAGCCAATAAAAGCAACGAAGATGTTTTCATTCGTCCCAGAACCACAACTGTACTATCTCAGAGCTCAGCACTCACAAGTCACCTTCAAATTTCAGCAGCGCACCCAGACTCACTAGTCACCCTCAAAGGACAGCCAATCCCCATGAGTTCACAGGGTTGCATCTTCATCTTCTCCAACTTGTCCAGAAGGTTCAGCATGTGCAGGGAGATCATGAAGACGTCGAATCATCCCACATACATCATCCGGAGCTGGTCCAGAAGGTACTGCACGACCAGGAAGATCATGAGGAAGTCGACACGCCCCAGCATCAGGATGATGTCCAGCCATGAAGAAGACCATGTAGAAGATCATGACGAGGAGCACCGCTTTCACTCCGAACTCCCCTTGGCGACCGACTTCTTTCCTGACAGCGTCCCTCTGGCACACTCAAGTGTAAAGGGAGGGTATCTGGATCAAGCCATGCTTGTTGAAGGCGCTGTACCATGGCCCTTGTGCATGCCCGTCCCAGTCTTCTCACCAAGACATCACATACTTCCCCCACTTGTTGTCTTATCCCCTCTTGAGGTAGACGACTTGGTACTCCTTCACGTGGTAGTAGTACAGCATCCACTTCCCCAAGTACACCTTGGGCTGCAGCGATCAACTCACGTAGCATGGAAGTCACCCAAGCCACATCACTTTCATCAAGTGGAACATCTCCCCTACCAGCGGACTCCAGGTAGACAAAGACATTGTTGAGTGCTTCCACACATTCCACCCCAACATCAGTGTCTTGTAGTTGCTCCCTCTCGTACATGTTGAGCTGCATGAAGTAGTTTGCATCAGTCTCCCCATCAGTGGTACCAGTCATGTCCGACGAGTCCATGTTCCAGGTGCACATACTCACCGTGGTGGTTGTCGACCCATGCAGCACGGAGCTCTCTGTCGTAGTACTGGTCAGCGAACCTTCACCTGAAGAGGGTGGTTGGTTTGTCACGAACGACCCGGTCGACGGCGGTCCTTGGGAAGATGCTGGTATTTCACTAAGGGCATTCTCGTGTCTCATTGCTCGTCCCGCTGCCATGCGTGGAGTACGGTCTCGCCCCCTTCCATCAAGATCTTCACCTTCACGGAGGAGATCACCAACATTGGGCCGCGGCAGCATCATGGCATCTGACATTCGCCCCGGGTTTCTCCGCGGCGGTCGTGCTTGTTCACGAAGGGCAGGAGGAAGTTCATGAGGAGCGACCCATGCATCATCCAGTGCATTATTCATCATCTGCAGATGTATGCTAGCCATGATTGCCGCAGGTCCCCTGCAGTGTGAGATGATGCGAGCTCTGTCTGCATCATCCGCAGGTTGGTAAAGCCCCCCATGTACCACACGGTCCTCCAGCAGCGTGACCAACACATTGGCGACCCGGATGGCATGTCTCACTGCACGAACAAGCACGGCCAGACCCCACATATGTTGAGCTCGAACATGAGGAGGAACACCCCTGTCGTCAACACGCCGAAGTAGGTCTCCAAGGTATCCATCCAATTCACCCAGGTCCGCCCCAGTTACGCCTTCATTGACAAGACTCTGCCACTCATCAATGTTGAATGTTTGAACCAACCCGGTGACATCTTCATCTTCCTCCACTGATGCCGCCTCCTCTCTCCTCCCCGTGCTACGAGACCTGCTCCGACTTCTCGTCCGAACTTGTTGGTCTTGAAGATGTACTCGCGGTCGTTCACCCCTGTGGTCAGACGAGGACGACGGTTGTTCTGTTTGTACATCAGGAGAGTGTGTCGTAGCTGGTGGTGGCGGTAGACGTACTCCAGCGGGAAGACGTGCAGATAGTCGACGATGATATTGGATGAGGTCTCGCCCCACGCTCATCAAGATATCTGTTATCCTCCCCGCCAAGCCAAGGAGTCGAGTTCGTTGTGCAGCCTGACGAGGTTCACGATAAAGCGGCCAATGGCATGCAACATTGGGCTCCAGTCTTCTGGCCACCAGGTCCGTTAGGCGTTGCATCACCCCAAGGACATGTCTCCATCTGACAAGCCATTGATGTAATGCCCATCGTCCCTCTGGACCTTCCTCCGCCGTTTGGAGATCATCAAGTAGACGAAGGAGGTGACGTAGATCACGATGAGCTCCATCCTCCACCCCAAGATTGGAGATTTCAGCCTCCTCCGACATAGTGAGCTGCATCATCCCAGTTGTATCTGACTCCTCACCATGTTCTCTTTCCCATTGGTTCCAGTCATCCCACTGTTGTTTTGTCCAGCTCAGCCCAGCTTCTTCAGCACGATGAGCATCTCCTTCGCGATCATCCTCATTCCAAGGCCAGCTCTCCACCGAGTGTGAAGACAATGTTTGTTCTTCACCATGACAATCACTCTCTTCCTCTCCCTCTCGCCCCAGAGGGGAAGCGGCCATCGTCCCAACATCCGGAGGTTGCACCTCCCCACCTTCAGGTGAATGTGCAGGTAGAGGCTCACTCATCTCACCATGTCCATCAGCTTCCTGAGGATGTACTGGCCGAGGAGCACCCATCCCTTCTTGTTCTTCAGCGCGAGGAAGACCATCACGACGAACTGGATCTTGTAGATGACGATTGAGAAGTTCTCTCCATGCCTCTGGTGTCGCAGGATGTGGAAGCTGGGTCTGAACTCTACGCCAAGCCGGAATAAATTCACCCCGGTTCCATTGTCTCATCCTCTCACGTCTTTTCTCCTGTCTCGTCGTTCCTTGTCCCCCGTCATGAAACCTTTGTTCATAGTCCGTGCGAGGACGATCGACCCACCGTCCATGGCGATAAAAACCTGAAGGTCGCGGTCGTGAAGGAGACGAAGAAGAGGAGCTCCATTCAGCATCTGTTCTCCAACTCGACGAAGGTTCCCCTGAAGGCTGCAGATGCCAGTCCTCCCATGTGCTTGTCTCAACTTCCCACGGTGGAGGTTGGAACCAATCATCCCATCCATTCCATGTATCATGTCCCATTGCTGACCACGATGAACTCCACGCTGACCATGCACTGGTAGAGGACGAAGAAGCCCCCTGTACTGTTCGTGTTCGGTGAGGTTCATGTGCTTCTCGCGGCTGAGCTTGGAACCAATCATCCCATCCACTCCATTCATCATGTCCCGTTGCTGACCATGACGAACTCCACGTAGACCATGTACTGGTAGAGGACGAAGTAGCCCCTTGTACTGGTCGTGATTGTTGTGGATCACGCCTCCAATTGTTGCTATTAGCATTCCACGCTGCGGGTTGGTCTGGAACAGCATCAGAGGGCAACAGGTAGATCACGAGGGCGCACAGGGCGATGAAGAGGACACGCCCTTTGAGCATGACGGCCATGGCCGCTGCTAGAACGAATTGAAGGTAATTCAAAGTACAAAGTGAAATAGTGGCCACACATAGATCATGAAACGTCAAGGCCTTGAACTTGAGGCGAGCAACGCGTCAGCAAGATAGCTTCATTCCGCACGCCCCAACAACAGGCCCTCTCTACCACTCAAGTTCAAGCTGACGTCCCTTGCACCACGGGACATCCCATGCTTCAAGCCAGGCTGGGAGTGAACACTTCCACTGCAACCTATCATGTGTCATGGACATCCATTGCAGACCGTACACCAAACCAAGACGGCGTTCGAAGTTGTCGGCATGAAACCTCTGTGGGTGTCGCAACCCAAAGGGCGGGGGCCATTCCTGCTCATGTCTCCACCACTCCAAGTTCCTCCACTGTAACATCGCCCCAGCCATTCCCAAGAACCCCCCCTCGCGTTGCCGCCCCCAATGTCCCGCCAATTGATGTTGTAGGCGGAGCACCGTAGTTGACCAGCGTTCCACCCCATTATGAAAGATCCAGGCGCGAATCCATCTGCATGTACGGGAGTTGAAGTCGGTCCATGTTTCATTGTGGTAGCGTTTGCATCCAAAGGCAAGGCGGTAGAGGCGGACCTGTAAACTATTGAGGGCCCGCAGGTCGTCCACGCCCCAGTGCAATGCTCCAGCTACCCATTGCCACGTTCCTTGGACTAGCGACCTGACAATCTTGACTTTGGACATATACGACCCACGACTTCGAAGGAGGACACTGTGTTGACCCCAAGCTGCCCAAATGCGCCCCATCAAGCATTTTGCCTGCTGCGACTGTCCTTCCATCAAAGAAAAATCAACACCCAGGATGCGAAGACTGCATTCCTCAGGAAGGAAGTCGACGACCACATTGTCAACACGGAGTTTTCGTCGTCCCTTGTAGAATGGACTGGCCACAATCCCCGTCTTTTCCAGAGAGAGGGATAGTCCAAGGGCAGCAAGGTGACGACTGATAATCATGATGTTGTGTTCCATATCTGCTATGTTATCACCCCACATCACGATGTCATCCTGAAAGCAGCCGGAGTCCAACGGAAGATCACTGAGAGCCCCGGTGGGTAGACGCCAGTTAGGATCAGCATGAGCCATCACCAGGACCTGTTGAATGATGAGGCCAAAAACTTCAGCTGATTCTGGACTACCTTGGCGAATCCCCCGGTTGGCCTTGACATCAACCTTTGCGCCCCCCGGTGCTTGTCCATGTAGGCGGTTGCAACGAAGAAGACGAAGTAGAAAGGCCAGCTCGCATTTGTGGTGTGTTCCGCGCAAGTGTTCCAGCATGAAGTCCGCTACTGCCCGTCTGTGTAGAAAGTCAAACGCCCCTTTAATGTCCAACTTGACGACCATGCCTCCAATGGACCATTCGCGGCACATATCCCTGAATCGTCCCACCGCCCCAATGAGGTCAGCAACTTGACGACCACATCCACTTGCTGCCCACCGACAAGGTTTGCGCAACGCCGGGAAGCAGCGTCCCATGACGACTCTGGTAGCGAGTTTTTGTAGAGTACAGGACATTGCGATAGGCCTGAGCTGCGAAGTGTCTTGTGGTACCGCAACTTTAGCAAGTAGTGCCAGGTAAGACTCACCCCAAGCCACCGGCAGATCTTTGGAGGCGATACAGGTCGTAACCACATGGCACAGTGCTTCAGGCTGTTCTTCATGAAGTCGCTTAAGAAGTGCAACACTCACCCCATCAGGTCCAAGCGCGGCTTGAGGTTTCATCCCTTCAAGAGCAACACCAACCTCGGACTCCGTGATGATCAAGTCGCCCTCCGGGATCTTCTCGAGAATGTCCGCAAGTTCAGCATCCCAATCACCACATGTCTCGTCCCACATTTTGTTTTGGAGGTGTGTGGTAGCCTGCGCCGCAACGTTCTCACTGCTGTTTTTTGCAAGAAGATCACCCCACCAACCAGAGGATTTCTTCTCCCCTTTGTAGTCCCGGTAAGCAGACCAATCCCCTGCAAGTATACGTTGAAACCGCTGCTGGCGCCATTCTCGCTTTTTTCTTCTTCGCATGGCATGAACCCCTTTCCATCTGATCTTATCCGCACTTGCCTTGGCTGCACGAGCTTCCTGAAGAGTCTCTTCGTCATCAGTGAACTTAGTCCTGCCCCGAGGTCTTGTCCGGGTAGAAGCCATGTCATAGAGGTCGTCAAGGTCGCGAAGAGGAGGAAGAGGTGTCGCCCCAACAACCCACCGAGGTCTAGAGTCATTCCAGTGTCTCGTATGCTGCACCTGTAGGAAGACGGTCATGAAGAGAAGGGCGTGGTCTGTGTTAAGCCAGCTGCGTGCTGCCTCACAAATGTGAACAGGTCCACCTCGAACAAGTCTCGTCCCAATGGCATCGATATGACGCCCCACACGTGTTGCATCACGAGGAAAGTGCGTGGGTACGAGAAGAAATTCTTCTGAGGGAGCACATGCGCGAGCACGACAACCATGGAGTAGTTCAAGAAAGGCATCGTTTTTGCCTCCCCCACGAACAGGAAAGGGAGACGGATCATCACTGGATGCAGTCCAACGGATGACTTCATTAACATCCACCCCAAGTAGCAAAGGACTATCTTGGTGCCATCTGCGTAGTTTTTGTTTGAACTCCCCAACTGCCTCCTGGTACTGTGTAACCGTGACTCCAGTTGGGCAATGGAGGGATGCCACTATCAGCCTTTTGTGTCCACGAAGTCGCAAGAACCAAGCCGCCCCATGTGCCGTGGACATCTTATCCAGCACACAGTCCAGTAAATCAGAGGCCACTCCAACCGCAACACCCCGCCATTGGAGAGGATGCCGATGAGATAGCCATGTGAAGTTGTCATGTTGTTGTTCATCCCATCCTGCTGTTTCTGATCTAGCAACTTCTTGAAGAGCCACGAGATCAAACTCCCTGAGTGTAAAGTCCGCTTTCATGATACTCTGACCACCCAAATTCCACGAGGCGAAAGATCTGTGAGGACACTTAGTGTTGACATTCTTCGCCCCGATGTTCTCCTGTGAGGAGTAGTCATGCATGGTGAAACTCGTCCCTTTCTTTCACTTGTTGAGCTCCCTCTCCACCGCCTGGAGAGCTTCCACATATGCTACGCCTGTGACATTCGCAATGGCCTGGACATCAACCCATCCACTAGGCAGCGTCTTGATAGCTTCCCCACGAGGAGCACGGTGACTGCAGCTTCCAAGTTTCCATTCATTGTGCCAAACAGTGCCTGCTCCCCAGTCACATTCATAACTGGTCTCCTCAACAGCTTCTGGCTTGAAGCTCTCCCCATTGTGGCGCGCTTCCCGGGCGAGCTCGATTGCGACCCTCCTCAACAAGGAACAGTGAGAAGAACGGCGCCTGGCTTCCTTAGTCTTGACGAACTGTATCCACATATGTTTGGCCGTCCCATTGTTAGCTGCTGCTGTGGAAGGTAGTGGAAGTGGACTGGCACGAAGAGCTTTGATGACGCCCCACATTCTGTCTCGCACTTTGGCATCATCTTCTCCTGGACGATTCTTGAATTTGAGCGCCCCAAATGACCGTCTCGGCCCCCACACCAGAAGTTCACTTTGATCGACCAAAGAGCGGACTTCCTCCTTGACCAACAACGGCTTGGACTCCTCGATGAGAATCCCCTTCTTGGAGTCCTGGCACCATCCACCCACGATCAAAGTTTTCTTGTCATCCTCCGAGAGCTCCTCCCCACGACCTCCAGATGGATAATGCGACTCGCCACCTTCTCGCTTCTGTTTCTCCTGAAGGTAGTTCGCCCAAGGATCAGAAGGTGGCGCCCCAGCTCCTGCATGTACGGGGGTTGTCTTCTTCGACTCCGCAATCTCCTGCTTGAGGCCGTGCATCTCCTTGCTAATCTCCTCGATCTTGATCTTATTGTTGTGCTCCCCAACTTCAACTTTCTGGACACGTGCGATCACCTTCTTCTTCTCTTCCCTGTCCTTCTGCATCTCTCCATGCAAGTGATCGATACGACCATCAACTCTCTGCCAGGCACTGCTCATCTCATTCTTCACGCTGGCAAGATGCCCCTCCAACAGTGCCCTGAGCTCACGTCCCGTAACTGGAGAGTCTTCCAATGGAGCTTCCCGCCTTTTTTCCGGACTTGTATTCGGCGATGCTGCATTGTTGCGTCCCCGCTTGGGTCGTCCTTTCCGCGAGGGAGAAGTAGTGACCACGTGAAGGGCAGGGTCAACAGCCATAGGGAGCGCCCCCTCTTCAGCATCAGCTTCTTCTTTCACAGCATCAAGGTCCTCATCCCCCGAGCTGATGATGTCGGTGGGTTTGTGGGGCATGATGTCAAATGGCAGGATCGAGTAACCGAAGGCGTCCACTGGGATAAGAACAGAAGTCAAAGAGCAGAATCACGTAAAGGAGCAGGACGGACACCAGGTACGCAATGAAGAGGAGAATCGACGTCCCCTCAAGCGCACATCGGAGCTCAACTAAAAGAGGGACCTGCTTTGAACCAACGGCTTGAGCCAAAATGGCTACGGTTTTAGGGTTTAGGGTTTAGGGTTTAGGTTTTAGGGTTTAGGGTTTAGGGTTCAGGGTTTAGGGGACTGTAACCATACAGGGTTTAGGGTTTAGGGATAAACGATGACTATATATATATATATAGGG